CTCATGTTGGTCTTCAACAAGATCCAACATAGTATAACAAACTCTAAATAAACATCCCACTACTGATGGGCAATAGAGGTTCATCTCTGTAATCTTTTGCTGTTAACTGTTCTATAACTGAGCACCTGTTGAGCATGTGCAAGGCATTTTCATAATCTCCAACATGAAAAAGTCTTGAAAGCCTCACACACTCCTAATTCTGATGTCTGACAGGAAATACTCTGTCTATCTTTGTTTAGTATCATTTTAACAAGTATCTCTCTAGGTAGTTTTAGGTTATGAATATATCTCTCTGGATACTAATAACCATGCATCTCACAATGTATATGTCTCTAGTTTCTTGATTTAAAAAGAATACCATTTTCCAATATTCTGTTATTCATCAGAATTTATATTCATCTCGCCACCAACAAAATGTTTCTCATTCTCTATTGACACAGTAGGACTTGATGTTTCATATTTGATGTGATGAAATCTCACAAATGGCTCTGGTTCAGTGGTTAAATGATTGTTCTTTTGCTGCATTGTGTGAGACCAGCCTGGAGTCCTCTAATTGATCTGACAGCCTTCGGTTTTTGGAGCCAGAATTTTAATCACTATTGCTTCACTCTCTCTTTGTGCACTAGGAGGCTGTAATGGTTATATAAATGAAGCAAACCTAGAAGAGATTTTTAACCTAAAAAAATCCTAAAAAAAATCTATTTCTGTGTGTATACATGCATCCTGAAGTTGCTTGTGCTAAATAATTTGTATACATGATTATCTTGGAGAAAACACAGACTTTTGAAACACACTTGATGCTTCTTGGCTCATACATTTCTTTTTATTTCCTGTAATCATTGATATTACTAACCCCTTCTCATACCATGCATCACATAGATTGATAAACATTCATGAAAGCTATATATTTGCATAACTTTTCATAGAGAAATTTAGTATTTAATTTACTACATATACATTTTCACTTTTGAGACAGTGATCAATGCAAATTGGCAGCCTGTTGACTTTTTCATCTCATAGACTATTTCAAATGCCAGCAGTGCTTTTGGAAAGTGCCATTAGGATAGGATGCCAGTTGCCATTGTTGAAGGGTACCTTAATAATTCCAACTTAAGAAGAATTAGCCATGCTCACATACTGATTGTGATGACATGGCTGTTTTCCTGTGAGTTAAACTTCATGCTGGGTTCTATCTAAGTCTAAATTGTAAGTGCAAGATGAATTTTGTCTGGATTGTCTGAGCAGAATGAATAGAAATCATTATGTAAGAAACTCTTTTGTAGTTATGAATGTGTTAAAGGGAAAGCATATCATGGAATTCCTCACATTAATACAAGAGAATTTGTCAGGAACTGAAACTATTAAATAGTGTTTACAAAACATATTCTAGCGTTCTATCAATGACAGTTAAAAGACAGAAGCACGTACTGTAGTCACATTTCTCGACCAAGTGCCCTTTTCTACTCCATATCTTGTCACTCTTCATCTTCCAAAAGTTCCCCTGCTGTTAAACTTTCTGGATCAGTTTATTAAAAAGTGCATGTAAAAATATTTTAAGGTTAAAATGTGTGTGACATCTACATGTGTGTAAAGGTATTCAATGATGACTTTTTTGTGTGGTATTCTTAAACACTGAAGCTTGTTTAATCACTGTTTATCTTAGTGAAGATCTTAGCTGTACCAGGGATATTGTCTTAAACCATAACACTATGGATTAGAGAACTTTTTCTTCCTTCCTGCTTTACTGTGAATAGAAAATAATATCTTGCACATTGTAAGAAGACAAGATCTGTCCCTCACTGCATTCTAGAGTGCTTATATAAATGCTCAGTACTTGATTGTGAAGATAGCTTAGAAATACATTGTTCTGAAGCCTAGTAGTAGTGTGATTTTTTTATTCAAATGAATGTTCCCGTCATGTGTTAATACTTCTAAAAAGATCTACAGAAGGGATAGAGATATAACCTAGTGACAGAGCCTTTGCCTAGCATGAGAAAGTCCCAGAATTTGATGTCCAATGCTGGCGATACAAAAAGAAAAGGGAGAAAAGAGATAATTCCTGTGTAAAAATAAAAACAATTTCTTTTGGGTAGTTATAAATGATATAAATATATGCTGCTTCTAACTTTGTACTTATTGATAGTAAAGTGCCAAAATATATCCACAGAACATTTGAGAGTATTTGTTTCTAATTTTGTATTTTGTTCGAAGAAAATCTAAGTTGCTATGCTTTTGAAAACAAGGAAGGACAGAATGAGATTTGGAAACAATGTATTCTGTCATGGATAAAATGTTGTCCGTTTCTTTCCTTGGAGGCAAACTTAGATGAAGCTTTGCTTCTGTAGAGTTGCAGAGAGCTGTGCTATAAAAATTACTTTTAAGATTCTGAAAGCCAGGGTGCTTGGAATGTTTTTCACCTTACATGAAGGTTTAGAGGACAGGGGGGAATAGGATGAAGGAAAGGAGCTTGGGTTCTGGATGCTGCCATTCCCACTAGGAGACTGCCTCACCGTTCACCAACATGCATACTGATATTACACAATGCCTCTCAGTGTTTCTATTGTAGATTCCTCGCTGCACAGTTAAATAGTATGGCACAGTAGAGCAAGATATTGAAAAACCTAACAAACAATAACATAAGGTAGAAATGCCGATTATAAGGAGGGCTCGGTCAGTTTAGTGGCCAGTTGAACCTCTGCATGCAATTACAAAGTCACATATCCCAAATAGCATGACCCTCTGAAGATTAGGTTGAGTTTTACAAATATGATTATAACTTTACTAATTCCAGAAAAATTAATGGAAAATTGTAGTGAAAAAGACAAACTAAGAACAGGATGGACTCTTTTTGATGATGACAAACTGATCAATAAAACTAGTACATTGCTAATTGTCCAGGTTATATTTTTGTGCCCACATGATACAAACCAGGTTCTCCTGAGGTAGAAGAACCTCAATGAAGAAAATGTCTCTATCAGAGGCCTATAGGTGAGTCTGTGTCATTTTCTTGATTGATGATTGTCATAGTAAGGCCCAGCCCACTGTGGGCACTGTTACTACTTGGCAAACTATGTTGTGTGTATAAGAAAGCAGGTCAAATAAGCCATTGGGAGTAAGCCAGTGAGCAGCATTAGTTTTTGATTTGCTTCAGCTCCAATCTTGCTTCTCCTCAATAATGAACAGTTACCTGGAAGCGAAAGCTGAAAGAAACCCTTTTCTCCCCCAAACACTTTTGATTATGGTGTTTATTTAAGCATAGAAACCTCATTAGGACACCAATCTTACAACTTTTAAAAGCCCAGGACTCATGCACCTTCTAAACCATCACTATAGAAAAATTCTCATTAAAATCTTGTCTTTTTTGTGTATAAATAGAAATATCAAATTGAAGATAATGACATACTCTGTGCATGAACTCATGATTCTATAATCCTTGAATTTTGATTTGGATACCTTACAGCAAGAAATGGAAAAGTGTCACAGTCTTCAATGCTAGAATTCAGAGAATTAAAAAAAATGACCACCAGAGGTGTCCGATGATGGCCTTGAGTAGGTGATTTAGCCCCCTCAGAGTGCTGTGAAATGGTTTTGCAATACCTGTTCCTGCAATAATTTAGAGATTCCTTTAACTATTGCTGATAGAGTTCTGCCCTCTAAACAAGTTCTAGCCGCTCTGGTGGATAGGCAGGACTGAGCGTCCCTGTCTTCATTGCAAAGGCACTGCGCACCTCTCCATCAAAAATGGGGAACTGATGAGCCTTATTTTTAGAGCTATTCTCTGGAGGGAGAAAAGTAGGGACAATTAAAGTTCTTCCAGTTGAGAGCCAGCATAAATTACATGGAATCATTCAAGATCAATTTATGATATTACTAGGTGGCATGATCTGTCATCATGCATTAGTGCTTGCCAGAGAAAATAGGGCCGGAAAATTTGCAAGGTTGAAGGTGAAAAAAATGCCCCATCCCATACACAGAGGCCCTAGGCATATTCCCTATCTGAGAACCACATCCATATTCAAAGGGTTGGAAATTTGTAACTTGAAAACACCTGAATTTCTAAAAGAAAATTAATTAAGTCATAGTGAAAAAATTTAAGGTAGAAAAGAGAAAAGAAATACATTTAAGTTTATTCAAAGAAACCTGAAGTGCACTTCAATTATTTTCACGATTAAACTCATTTTAAACTACCCCTGAATATTCATATATATTCAAATATACCCCCATCATAGAACTATTCTGGTATGCTAAATAAATATTTGAGAATCCATAAAAATTCTCGTTTCTTTCAATTCATGAATGATGCAACTTATAGCATAGAAATTTTGGGGAATATATAATGCAGGTCTCAAGAATTTTAATGATACATTAACAGTTTCAAACCAGCAGAGGGCTCTCTCCTGCAAGGTGGGCCTATACCTGGGAAGTCCAGAAGGGCCTGTTAATGAGGCACCGAAGTAGGATTTAATATTTGTTATTGACCTCAGAATTTGCTCAAATCCTGGGTTTAATTAAGAAGTATAAAAACTGAATGAAGCAAAGCCAAACCCACTTCTGACGCTTGAGATATAATTATTAATATTTTCATCATGCAAAGTTAATTTTCTTCTGCTGTTCCAGCTTTAACAGTAAATGTGCTTCAGCTCTGCTTTATGAGTGCACACAGACTCCAGCAGCCGGATGCTCTCACAGCTCCCAATGGTTTCTTTTTTATTCAAATCTTAAGTAACATACTTAAAAAGTGGGGCTAAACAACTCTAGTTAGTCTTCTTAATTCAGTGATGCGTGCAAGTAGAGAGTAAGTCATCAATGTAGGTGAGCACTTTTGATCCAGACTGTTAAAATTGTCGGATAAATACTGGATGACGGGAAAAGATTTTTTTTTATTTTTTAAAGACGTTTTTGCAATCCTTTCTGAACTCAGTTCTTATCTCTGTCAGTTCTTTCCAAACGAAACACATAACAGATTTCATATTTCAATAAACAACACACACGCCAGTATGTCACTTCTGTTCAGAAAATTTTATTAACATTTTTCTGTCAATTTGAAATAGCATGAAATATAATGTACTCCTCAAGCTGTTGGGATAAGTTGACTCAACATTTTAGAAGGATGTATGTTAAACAAACTAATTCTTTCCAATTCTAACATTTTAATCACATTGATGTATTTTTAAGTAATGTGGAAATACAAATGAATTGCTGGCAAAGGCAAATGTCAGCTCATACAGCCTCCAACACATTTTAAAGACTACAGAGATTTAAGTATAGTTTCAGCAAACGTTAAAGAAACAGTTGTCAAACCAAGAAAGACAAAGGTAATTTTCAATGTCTTAAGTGTTTAAAGCCCAACATTTTCTTTCCATGGTCATTGCTACAGAAAAGAAAAGTGAATACAGCCTCAATGTATATAAAATAATTTGACTTTTAGTAATCACAAATAGTATAATTCACTTTAATTTCAATATTAAAACAAACATTAAAGTATGGGTAAATACATACTTTCATTTCCATTAACTAAGGAGTTCCTGTAGGCAGCATGCAAGACCACAGTCTTTGGGTAGCAGTGACATGCCATGGGCAACCTGTAGGATGGAGGGACCTGTGTGCTAGGGCTGCTTCCGAGATCCTGCGGTGAGTTGTCTCATGCTTCTGACTCCCCAGAAAGCAATGCAAACCGAAAAGAAAATCTGAAGGGGAAAGCAACAAAACATTTATTCCACTGAGTTAAACTATTTTTCTGGAATAAAAAAAAAAAACAATAATTTCACTCAGTGAAATTTCTTAAACAAATTTTAGTGAGTTTTTTAACAATAGGATTTAGTCAACTTAACATAAGGCATGCTATGAAAAAATAAAAAAATGAGAACAAGAAGTTTGTTTTTTCTCTTTTTTTGTTGCTCTTTCTTTTACTGATTTGGGTTATTTAAAGATAGAGAGGCCAAATAAACTGGATACTGAACAAAAGAGAACAAGTTTCTTCTACGTGTACAGCAACCAAAGGTTATATGTTGTATGCTAAATGAGACTTAGGAATAGAGGAGGTGAAAGGTCTGTTGAGAAATCCTTTTCCTCTGAGGTGATACAATCTACCCAACTATGCATATCATACAATAGGAATAAAATCCACACAACTGCGGCTAACTTGCCTTCTCCAGCTTTTGATCCTCATGGTGTATAAAAATATAGCTACAAAAATTTCCTTAAAATTGAATATATATACATATATATATGAATATGATATCTTGATTTGTCATGAATTTAGAAGAAGCACACAGCCATTTCCAGCAAGAATAATGGTTGTAGCCTTTCTGCTCTGCATAAGCTAAATACCATATCCCATCATGCATCTGTCTCTGCACAGGTTATGGGCTTTGGGCTTTCAGGTTTCTTCTATGTTCATGCTTCCCTTGTCCTCTTGTTAAGCCACAGGGCTGGTTCCTGATCTCCACTCTAGGAAAGTTCTAGACTAATGGTGAGTGTTCGATGAAGGTGAAACAGCCATACTGACTGTAGTAAGTCTGTAATAAGCCAGACTTACTGTAACAACTATGTGGGTCTCCTCTCTATATCATGTCTTTCCATATGTATGTATGAACTTCCTCTCCAAACTACAATACTACCACTTACTTCTCCCCAGGAAGTCATTTACTATTTCTGAACGATGCATTAAAATATACAATGGAAAAATGCTTAAATAATAACTGGCATGAGGTACTGATGTTATCAACTGAGACAAGTCATTAAATTACCCCAAATACTTTTTTTAAAAAAATCAGGATAAGAAAAATGAAACAATGTCAGCAACAATAAAAATTAAACAAACAAAATTTGCTAAATGTTGGTGCTTAGATGTTATGCATCATTCAACTTCATTTAAATCTCCTGGCTGTTACTAGATGGTCATTAGCATGAATGTTGGCTAGTCGTGTAGGTTTGTTCCCTTGACTCTATGCATTCTGTTCAGCCTATCAAACCCACAAAAAAAATGAAAATAAAAACTGGTACTTATATTGAAGCAGAAGGCAAGAATAATATTAACACATTGGAGTTGCTTCAAAAGTCAAACACAACGTATTTAATGGCTGGCTTTCATTTTGTTTCTTTTGACTGTAACTCAAGAGAAATGACCTCATGAGATTTCTCATGGTGCTGCCAGGTAAAACAACACCAGCACTGGAGGAGAACGTGTGAATAATACTATACTTGAGGACGGAGTTCCTTTTGTCTCTGAAGATGAGTTAATGTGGACAGGTAGCTGAGAAGACAGCTTCCCAAGAGGGTCAGTGATGATGTTTATAATCATGGTAAATATTTGATCTGGATTAAGTATCTTCATCAAATAATTAGTATATGGGAGTAGAATCTGAAATATATGTGGTAATACAGCATTTTATTTTGTTTGAATGTCTGATGTCTAGGATCACAAGGATTTCTACATGAAGGAAGACTGTGCGAGAGATTTCCATGAAACCTCAAAAACACAAAGTAAAATTTCATGTGTTGTAATTTTAGTCCCCAATTATGAATGGTTTCTTTTAGACTACACATACACATCTAACTTCTCAGTAATAATTAAGAATATTTCTATGTAAGCTCAGTAATACTAAAAGTTCTTCAGTAAAACAAGAGGCACTATAAAAAAGATCACAATGTATGTCTTTGTTCTTAATCCACCATGTGGGCCTTTCCATCCTTGAAAGCTGAACCTTTGATTCACATGGGCTTTCTTCCTACCAAAGCCTGAGCATCTCCTCTTTCCTAGCCACCTCAAATGCAGTCAGTGCCCTACAGAGGAGCAGTGTTCACTTTGCTCGGTTTGTCTGTTTGGATATTTATAGACTACCTAACCCTCTAAAGAGACATAAAGGCAGCATCTCTCTGGTGTCTCAGTCAGGTCTCCCTCCTGTTCCATAGAGAGATGCTTGGGTCAGGTAAGCTCTTTATATTCTTACTAGTCATGATTCCTCCATAACTTGGAGGATTGATATATACTTTGTGGATGAAGAAGTAGGAACTCACGATGTATTAATATATGATTACTAATCAGTCTCAAGAGTATCCATAGCTGGGCCTGGGTTTTGCATTTGCCGTGGCCCCCAGGAAGTTGCATTGGGCATACAACTCTGAACGACTGCTGAATGAGATGAGCATCACATCCAGAGACAACTGAATCTGTTTTTAGGGTAACTGTCGGGATCTTAAAGCCAATATCAGCTAGGCTTTTCAGATGTTTCACAGTCAGTGTTTTAAGGATGAAATTAGAGTTTTTAAACATAATGAAATATATATTCACAAAGGGTCACAGAAATGATATAAATGACTATATCCTTCTGAAACTCTAGTTGACACTTCTCTGTTAGAAATATTAAAGTAGAAAAAGCAAAATTAGTTTTATATTATGAAAATATGTATATATTATATTGCCATATATAACATATAATAAATCTAATTATGTTATATGTATAATTTAATATGGAAATTATTTGGCAAGAAATTCATATAATGCTTATTGATATAAATTCTGTCAAAACTTATTTTTCAATTTTGTTTGATTTTTCATTAAGCTATTTTGTCTTTCCATAGTTTTTGAAATTGAATGTTTTCCATTTGACAATAGGTCATTAACATATTTCTTAATCAAATGAAATAGAGGAAGCTGTGTTCTTGCTTAAGCATAGTGACAGTTAAGTGACTATTATAGCTTTTCTGTGCATTTATTTTTATATGTTTCTGTAATCCTTAAATATGTTTCTAGATCTATACAAGCCCAGTGCACCCTCATTTTATCATAGGTCTGGCCAAGTCCCATGATTTTAACAGCTGGATGCAAAATATGAAACAAAGGAAGTTCATTCTCGGTGTCAAGCCCTCCCTGTGCTAACACATCATTAGTGGTCCTTGTCTTCAGGCTATTTCCCTGACTTCCCAGGGACTTCAATTATAATGCCTGAACTTTGGCCCGTACAGATGCTCTCTATGTTTCTTCCACCTCATTCTAGAAAGCTCTTCATGTGGCAGGTGGCTAATCTGAGTACCTAATCCCTATTAGACCCCAGTGGGAACTATTGCTCCCACCCAGTTAAGTCTATTTCAGAGTCCTTGTGGAAAATGGCACAGATATGAGCAAACTAGAATTCTCACTCACTGGGAGGAGAAGCATACAAGCAGGGGTAATTTTGTGCAAATGACATCCCCTACAGCTGCAAATCCCCAAATCACAAGCCACGTGAGTGGACTTCTTAAATAGCTCTGTGCATTTTCATCTCTTCTGGTTTGAGTACATGACTGTAGCCATTCAGACAGACATGATGACCAAAAGAAGCGGACATCTCGTTGAACTGTGGACCATTGCAATTACAGCTAGTGAGCAGCACCACAGCTCTTGTGGAAGTGTTAAAAAGACTTCATAGTACTTAACTTGGGTATCCATTTGCAGGTGAAACACGTGCTCTAAATTACTTGACTTATTCACAAGAAAAAAATGTCCATAAGATACTAGACTTTTTGGTTTGGTTGGCTTTTGAGTCCCAGTTTATTTTCAATGATATTGAAATCAAAACACTTATTGTACTATATCTCATTGAATTTTCTGCCTACTTACAAAAGCCGCACAATGTTTTATGTAGCCCTAGAAGCACTAATAAGATGTTGAGCATATCAAATTTGTTATTTTTCATAGGGAGGATCATTTATTCAACTTGACCAAGGAAAGAATCTCAATTATGGTAATATAAAATACCAATTTGTGAATTTTATTTAATTTTTATTTTATTTAATAAAAACTTTTATGCAATTGTGTAGGCTTACAGAAAAATGTAGATTTCTATAATAATTTCCTAGGATTTATAAGCCCATATACTCATTTTTAGTTCTGACTCCTCGTACATTAGCCCTAAACAGAAGGTGGTATTTTCATGTAAAATTTCTTTCTTTCCCATTCAAGTAGTAATAGGTATAAATTTAAAACATAAAAAGTAAAATTATACAAAAAGAAAAATAAATATTGCTCTCTAGGTTAAAGAGATGGCTTAGCAGTGAAGAGCAATGGCTGTTATACAGATGACCTGGGGTTTAGTCTCCAGCATCCATATGGCGACTCACAACAACCATTAACTCTGATTCTAGAGAGACCAGTGCCTTCTTCTGACTTTCTCAGGCTCTGAGCACACAAGTGGCGCACGTATTTTCATGTAGGAAAAACGCTCATACACATAAAATAAAAAGCATCCACAAAGTTAAAAAGATTATTTCTCCAATGTCAAGGAAGGTTGAAAAAGAACAGGTCACTGGCTATTGTAAGGAATTCCAACAATTATAAGCAAGATCTGCTTTATTGGAAGCATGAAAAGCATCAAAATTATTTGAAATTATCTGGAGGAAAATAAGCTAACACATCAAACACCATACATTCAGTTTTTTTTTAGAAATGGCTTTTGAGAGCTGTAGAGGTAAGGACTCATTGAACTTGAATTGCTGCAAAACCTCACTATTTCCTATTAATGCACAGGACAAAAACACACACAGGAAGAGCAGGAGTGAGCTGAGCGGTGGTGGCGCACACCTTTAATCCCAGCACTCGGGAGGCAGAGGCAGGCGGATCTCTGCGATTTCGAGGCCAGCCTGGTCTACAAGAGCTAGTGCCAGGACAGGCTCCAAAGCTACAGAGAAACCCTGTCTCTAAAAAACCAAAAAAGAAAAAGAAAAGAAAAGAAAAGAAAGAGAGAGAGAGAGAAAGAG